GTCTTCGAAACTCACCAGCTCTTTGAGGTCTATCATTTCCGAGCAGACCACAATCATCATGGACCTCACCCAACGAAGGCTGTTTCCCGGCGTCAATGATGACCACACTCTGCTGAAAGTAAAGGCTCTCATTGAAGAGGACAAAAGCAATAGCATCTTCAAGGAAATCCCTCTGCAGAAATAGCAATCGAGTGTATTACATACAACAAGCCTCAGCGAACCTGCTCTTCTTCCACTGCGCTCAATAACTGTGGTTTCGGTTCTCCTCTCAGCTCATTCTCTCTGATCTCCAATTCCATTTCGTCCAACAAGCTCTCATCGCACGCATACCAGTCACTTCAAATAAAACATACTACGTAAATAGAAACTCAAAACTGAGAGCTTTTTCCAAATTACTGTAATTCGAAAAATGAATAGTGCAATGGCCTGAGGAGCTGAGTCACATTTTCGGTGATCGTGTCCTTTCATGGCTTTTCGCAGCAGCCCGAACTGGCTAACAGTTACTATACGAACACGAGTGGTAAAACAAAAGAGTCACGAGGCAGCGATTACGATGGGATTCAAGAAGGGTTCTAGAGGAGACGTGGTGGTGCTCAATGGTACGTCAGTGGCGAAAAAAGCGGAGAAATCCGTCAAAAAACGCAAAACGGGACCCCTTTTTTGGCCGTTGGTTTTCACTCATGAACAGGACAGCTCAGAAAGCGGACGTATGAACGAGTTCAGCGCAACGCGTTTGGTAACACCATGCCAAACCACGCTCCAATCGAGTTGCTCCAGTTGTGCCAACGCAGCTCGTCCAAATCACCAACTAAACTAGTGGGCGGATCGCTTTTGGGGGCGGAGTGCTTTCGAAGTCCTGCTCAGCAACCAGCGCACCTTTCGTCGTGAAAGCGCCACACCTCGCTTCCCTGGCAGCCAAGTAACTGATTCGTGTGGTGCATATGCTTCCCCGATGCGCTCCCACTTTATCGTAATCGCTGCCTTTGAAGGTGGATTCCAGTAAAATGTCGGAGGTCAAAGAACGGGAAATATGCCTGGTCAGAGCAGGTGGGTTCCTTAAGTGTGCGGGACACTGTGATTTTCGCAGCCAAAGACCTATGTCCCCTGCCGACCCTACAAGGCCAACGCCCCAGATCCCGCTCTTGCCTGCCACTACGCCCTCTTCGCTGATCTATACGTCCATTTACAGATATGGTGTTGGCGCTAGGGAGGCACTCGAGTGACAGTATCATCCCCAAGCGACATAACGGGCAAAATAGGGTCCGATTTTCGATTTCCGGTCCCGTTTCTCATAGTCTTTTCTTCATCCCTGTACCATTGACTACTCTACCTTAACCTCTAATAGGCCACCTTTTTATCGTAAACTCCGCCCTTAAAGTGTGCTACTATTACGAACTGAAGTCCGCAACCAAAAACAAAGCGGACCAACGCTGGCCAAATCGTCATAATCCTTACAAGTTCTCGTTATTTCATGGTCATATTCAAACCAAACCTATGAGGAAGTAGATAAAAATCAAAATATTCACTGACTTACGAAACACCACAAGTTGTTTTTCTCTAGTAGTTTGGCCAACTAACCCGTTCTTGACTTCCTGCGTCAAGTAACCTTCCTGAAGAGTTGCGCTACTTGTAGATTCGCTCGAACACGTTTCCGTTCTCTCGGGCGGTGAGCTATCGTCAATGTTATTCTGTAAAAAACTTCGCATCTACATAACATATTGTGAACGAAACTAGTCAGGTGTGTCAATCCTCCATTCATCCTCCTTACATCCGAAGTTCACATCCTTCGGGCAATGGTCACCACAAACGGGGGAGTCCTGCGATTTATGATCGTAAGGAAAGATCAACCACTCAGAAATTCTGAGCAGATGTAGAACAGTGCCCAGGTGCTACCGCAAGCATTATTTGTGTTCAAAAGTGTGATGGTCCTTATTCAGTCATTAAATCATTTGGGAAGTCGAATCTTGCCCTCCAAGGCTGTTGTCGCTCTAGTGTCAACTTCTTGATAACAAACTCGTCTAACAGGGAAAAAATGCCGAGCCATGCATCGGCTTGTTCCCACACATCGTTTTATAGGAAGGCGATTGAGTGTTGAAAAGTCCACATATCGGCTATCAAAGCAACTGGTGCATATGGCTACTGCGAAAAAGCCGACGATATGTTATGTTTGTTATGATTTCGACGTTTGATGGATCTAAGCGAGTGAACAGAAGACCAAAAGTACAAAACCTAGCTTGGGAGTATATGCTACTAGAAAGTAAAAGAGCCAGTGCATGAAACTCCTCTAGGAGAAAAAAAACGCAGAATTTAGTCATGGAAACTAGGATACGGCATCAATGATGCATTGGGCACTATTGCACTATTACAACCCCAGTAGGGGGTAGATGGGTCAAAAAAAATTTTCGCTGAAACTTCTGCTATGGGGGTTATCGAGGGTCCTGATCACGAATATGATTCCATTTTTGGCGCTGGCGCCAAATTTGGCGCCATTTGGCGCCACGACTGATTTCACCAAATTCGCTGTAAACTTCTGTATAGGGGTTATTTGGGTCCTGATTACGAATATGACATTTATTTTGACGGGCGCTATTTGGCGCCTATTTCCTGCTCGTCTGCGCCTCGCACTAATTAG